AAGCAAGGCCAACTTTATCATTTATCTTACTTCCGTCTGTAAAACAAATTAACTTGTACTTTTGAAGAACAGCATCAGAATAGTCAACAACTGGTATATGATTCTTGTTAAAATAATGTTGCAAAGAAGAAACTGGAAGGTTCCCATCAAGAAATTTTGATAATTATCTGAAAATGCTTTCCTCTATCGCAATATTTGTCAAAACCTCAACATCTATGGATGGGTACCAGCTAACAATAAAAAGTGCCTCATAACTAATAATCCTGTAGGCATGAATAATTCTTAAGAGAAATCTTTGAATTTTCCTTAGAAGCTAGCAGTTTTCTTTTATCAGTAAAGAACTGCCCCAAACCCTTAAAGGGTAGAAAATAACCGGCATTATTCCTTGGTTATAGTTCAATTTAAGAACATCTGTTTTGACTCCATATGTGTTTCTAGAAATTTTAAATAATTCTAAGAATACCTTTCCGCATTTTCCTGAGAGATGGGGAATATGATACTTCCATTAAAATTTGTTATCCAAGATAACTCCTAAAGACTCTATTTGAGTAACTTTTTCTATAGGAACGTTCCCAAGTAATAAACTTTTTCTGCAGTCAGTAATCATTTTTTTATTTTCATCATAACTTTCCTTTTAAGAGGACTAAATTTCAATTTATAAAGCTTAGATCACTGAAAAGCAGAAAAGCAGTATCAAGTAAATCTTGAGACAAAGAAAAAGAATCAACGGAATTCTGCATTGAACAATTAAAAGCAGATCCTCCGCAAAAGCAATTTTGAAACAGTTTTGAAAAGCAGAAGATAGTTCACACGAAAGATCCTTTATTATAAGAGTCATGAACAAGATCCAGAGATTGATCCTTGCGGAAGCCCTTTTCCAAATTATATTCTTTCGTAATATCACCTAGAAAAAGTTCTACAGTGCGAGTATGCAAAAAGTCCTTGATCAAGTAGAAGATGTTCCTCGGTACATCAGCATGTTTCAGTTAATTTATGATTCCTGGCCACCAGGCATTGTAAAATGCTTCCTTTTAAGTCCAGAAATATCAAAATCGTGCCGCGGTTTCTTCTTTTACCTTCCTTTACTATGTCATTTAAGCGCAGAAGCGCATCTTCAACTGAATGCTGAAGCGTAAAGTCATATTGATCCTCATCCAAAATATTTCTGCTTAAGTGCCAATTCAGTCTACTTAGATAAAGTTTTTCGAGACATTTACTTGAACATGGCAGAAGGCTGATATACAACTGATATTTTCAATACTCGACCACTTAACTTAGTATTTTTAGGGATGGTTACAATTCTAGCTTTCTTCCCACACCACTGGAAAGTATTTTTGATCTAGACAGGCATTAAATAATTTTTATAAGGTAGATGGACATTCGTGAAGATTCCGAATAATTTCATTTGTGATTCTGTACGGTCCAGAAGTTTTACCTAATTTTAAACCCTTAATAACATCATCAACTTCAGCTGTGTAAAAGGGAAAGTCATCCTCTGCATCATAAGAAGAAACCATCTCAGAGCGGAAAGTTTTATGAGTTTCCTCATCAAGAGGAAATGACCGTCAGAGAAAAAGATTTCAGGCCACTTAACGAGCATTTTTGCAACATAACTGTAGGGTTATTACTATTTTTTTCACTAACCAGTTATTTTATGTTTTTGATCTTACTATAACATTTCGTTTCCGTTTCCCTACCGGAATGTAAATGAGGTAGAAGGAGATAGTATTTAAAGGAAAGTTTCGGGAGTTTAACTCAGAGCGAGTTATGCCTCTCAAGACTACGTTATTAGGTTAGCTAGCTCAGATAAGATTGTAGCATTCGGATTTGCATTTTCCTTATAGTTGCCCATATTTAAATTTTTATTCCGGAAAGAAATTTTTAACCAACTTGGCATTAATTTGAATTGTGTAGTCTTCGACTACTTGCTTAGTTAATTTAAGTTTGAATTTAATATTTCTTTTTAAGTTTTCTCGCCACAAGTGGCTGGAGGAATTTGTAAGCACGAGTCGTGTATTTATTTATGTTCAAAGTTCTGATTTAATAAAAAGGTTGGTTTTAAAACTTTCGTAAGACTTTGTAGTTCTGTCCAAACTTAGCTATGATTTCCTCAACGTTTGTTAGGAGTTTGATACTAGTTTATGCTATTAAGCAAATCATGTTTTGTATAATTATACGATTAAAAATTCGGATATTTTTTATTTCAGTTATGATTCAGCATTTTTATGTACCAAAATAATCATAACTACCAATTAATTCCATCTTGCTTTTCTAATTACAGCATTCATGCGCATACATGCAGAACTCTGGATGTTTTTCAAACGCAATTTTCATAAAAAACTCATCAACTACAATGTATAGTTTACAGTTGACTTTAACAATGATCTCTGGTTAAATGTAAATTGTTAATGCTATAACCAAGGATCTACGTTTAGCAAGATTCTATTAACTCTCGTGAATATCCAGTCTCTTAAAAAGGAAATTGTTAACTACTATAACATGTAGCATCTTTTTTAAGGATAAAACGTTATCTACTTAGTCTCATTAACTACAAAATATAGCTTACAAAATATACTAATACGTTAGCTCGTATGCTGTAATACATAGAACATAATGTTTAGTTAACTATAGTATGTAGTCTCGTTAACTATTGAAGTGCATATCTACATGTAATCATAAGTGATTTTCAAGCGTAAATTTCCAAAAGTCTCGTTAAATTCAATTTGCGTTTGGTCGATTTTTTTTTTTTTTTTTTTCGGATGAAGTTTGCTAATGAAGTTTGAGCAAGAATGCTGACGAAGTTTAAATGCATTAGTAATTTTTGATTGTTTAAAAAATCTGCCATTACTGAAAACTGATCAAAAATTGAATCACAAATGGTAGATTTAAAAAATGGCAACACTTTGATAGTTCTGAAAACAATTTATTACCATAGATACAAACACTTATCCTCTTTCACTGTAATCACTTGCAATGTCTGCCACATTTTCCCAACTTAGGGGGAGGTGTTATACACGGTCAACAAGTCTGATGTCCGTCCCTATAGCAAGGATTACCTCTTTTCTGCTACTGAAATGGCTCCTTCTTAGCGATTCTTTCATTTGAAGAAACAATCATACTAACCGAATACCAATCAATGTAGCTATGATTTCTTCTCCAGAAGGAAAATGTCACTACAAGAAGGGGGGCCTTAACAGTAGTAGAAAGCCTGTTATCTCTACAATAGGACATTCGCTGCGGGCATCAGCTAATGATGTATAACACCTTCCTATAATTTGTTAAAGGTGGTAGATATTTTGTATCTACACTAATAAAGTATTTTGAAAACTGCTGAATGGTTGCTACTTCTTTTTTTACCAGTCCTTATACAAAATGGGATGCAAGAGAGATTGTGAACATTTTATGGAATTTTTCCACAATATGGAAATTTCCACACTAGATGTTTATCGCTTAACATGTTATAAAGTAACTCTGTTTAGCGGAGAAAGATGCACGCTTATGTGTGATAACTTGGTCGTTAAGGTTGTGTTACCATACCATTCTATAAAACAAAAATTTCTTGTGTAGTTAAAGTCTAAAATAATAATTAATCAAATAATATACGCAATACAATTCTTCCTGTTTCAAAGGATTTCACCAAATTGATTTTAACCTGATGGCATACGTATTTTTTATGAAAACGGTTATGAAACACAATTAAAGTTGAAGGAATTAACTTTTAATATGAATTCAAGCAAAGTGATTGGGCAAAGCACTAGAATAGAAACATAATTAATCTTTCTTCCATCTCCATCTTGCTCAAGGACATCAAATGATGATGATGATGATGATGATAAACACTCCCGCTTTCAATTTTAATATGACTTTCAGAAACTTTAATAAATCAGTCCAGGTTTTCAAGATTTGGAGTTTTTAGTGTAAACAGTCATATCAAAAAAAAGCATATTAATCAGTAAATGAATATCATGTGCTTTGGGGAACAAGGAAATCTGTGAAAAAAGATGGCAAATGGATGGACCTAAGCAATGGATTTTCTGACTCCTGTTCAAATAGTTTAAAATAATGCATTTAATTGCATCATTACATACAATTAAAGGCACTGAGATAAATCTTATATTATACACATGCATTTAATTACATTGTAGTTAATTATATTGCTATCAGGCAGGCATTAAAACATATCGTAACTGTAATTATGTATGTAAGTCATCATAAAAATAATATTCTCCTCTGTAATTTCCTTATGTTTGCTTCGCTAAAGCTATAGCGTCATAAATCTTAATTAAATAAGATATTGTTCTGGGGGGACAGATTACATGTTCACTGCAAAACAGAAGATGAACATGCTGTTAAAGACTACAGAATAAATTTTCTTTTTAAAACTACGGAATAACTTTTCTTTTTTCACTCCCTTTCCTTTTCTTCCGGGGGAGGATTAATCATTTTTATGTGCATGAGATTACACTGGAATCTCGATTAATTAATTACATTGCTAAATATGATATAATTATCAAATCATCATTTTTGAAGGCAGAAAACGCATGACTTTCGTAATTTGTTTTATGTATTTATTTCCACGTCATTATCATCTACAGGTAGCTATGATACACGTATTGTATAAGTAAGGAAACGTCGTTATATGATAAGAAGATTATTAGCTCACTCTATAATATATGCTAACTGATTTAAGAAATGATTACGAAATAATTTCCTTTAGTGTACTTCTTTTATAGAGGAGCTACGCAATTTTATAGTATTTTTTACGCTATAGCGGAATTTTTAGCGCTTTTCTGAGGCTACCGAAAATAAGAAAAAAATTCTTTGTAAAAATACTTTTTAAGGGATCATTTTGAATTTGCAATTTTTTGAAGTAAAAATACTTTTTCTTTGTAAAAATACTTTTTAAGGGATCATTTTGAATTTGCAAATGAGGAAAGTAAACTTATTGATAATATTACTAGGAAGTATTACTAGGAAAAATTTTTGAAAAAGATGCTTACCTGAAAATAATAACTCTTTTCTTAGTTTGGCATAAAAGAGAATCGTTTTTCTATCCTTTCACTAAGTAGATGCGCTCGTTTTCTGACAGAAAGAAATAATTCAAAAGTCAGCAAATCTCTGTCCCTCCCCAACAAATGCGTGCAAAGAATGTTACCATAGAAACGCGCATGTTATCAAGAATAACTCCGCCTGTTCGAGGGAAAAAGTGCTTAAGTGTAGTTCCTAAATTTAAAAAGCGATGTGATTTACCTGTTTATTTCAAATTGATTTATCTTAACTAAATGAAAAAGATACGAATATTATTCTTTTTTAATTCGTTTTAAGTTTAATCAAAATGTTCGTCATTCTTAGTGAAAACTCAGGTCAACGTTAAAGCTTTATAACAAATTTAAAACCGTCATAAATTATCGTAAAACTTCAACCTTGCATTCAATTTTGTTCCCTATATTTTTAGATATAAATGAAAAGCGTTGGCATGAAGAGGAGTTTCTCAAGAATAAAATTAATTATTTTTATTTATTTTTTTATTAAAACCTCTACCAAAAAAGAAATACTTATTTTCTTAATATAGGGAAAAAAATCAGAATTTAAAGAAATATTCAGTATTTTACAATTGTTAAGTAAATTATTTTAAGCAATTACTGTACTTGACTGGTGGAACTTGTTTATACTTTTGGTTATTAAATAACTGTAAAAACAAGAAAGCCAGTAGTGCTGGAAATAGATACTCAAAACTGGCAGTGGGTTATTAAAAACAAACTAATAAGAAAATAATACGCGTATTATATTTTGAAACCATAAGTTAAGCTGCTGAAATAAAGCGAAAATTATATTAGCAGATTATTATTTTTTTATTATGAACAGAATCATAAGAAATAATAAGCGAATTATATTTTGAAACTATACTTTAAGCACTGAAATAAAGTGAAAATTACATTAGTAGTTAAAATAAGCAGTAAATAATATAAGTTTAAAAAAGAATTTCCAGTTTCGCTTTCAAAACAGTCAATTTTTAGAGAAACAAACACAAGGTGTATTTTACATCTGATTTCTGTATCTTCATCGTAAAAATAAATTTGGGCAGAGCTTTGTCATTTCTAAAATTATAGTGTGCATGAATACTCTTTCAGATTTGTTATCAAGCAGTATTTGATTTATTTCATCCTTTTATGTGTTGGTTCGAGTAATGTAATATACAGGTTTCGTTTATGTATTTCTATTTTTTTCACATTAGATCTTATTCTCAGGTGCTAATTTTACCAATTTAATCACATAAAAATACTCATGAGATCAACAACTTTTTCAGGCTTTTAAGAATTTTTTTTAATACTTTTTAATAATAATTATTGCTAATTATCTTTAAAAAGCCAAGATAATTTCAATATTAACCAAGATAATTTCAATATTATGCTTAATTTCCTTTAGAAGCACTTATTTCTATTATTATTCGAGATCATTCTCTAGGCTTCAGTACCTTTTCAACTTTCCTGGAGAGTGTTTTTAATTTTACATTTAACAGGAATTTCTGTTTTAAATTTCTAATTTTATTTAATTTTTAAATGTAGTGACTTGACTCCAAAGTTTCTTTCCCAAGGAAACCGGGATCCCGTTCTTCCGATTTCTGTGGGTTCTTGGGTCTCCATTTTTACTTTTGTTCTTGTTTTCCTTATTTTTTATTTACGTATTCGCAAGAACTTCTTTACTTCATCTATTGGAAATATTAAATGCCATTTTAATATCATAATGATGCATGACTATTCTTGAAGAAAGAGCAAGACGAAAATTATCGTTTGTTTGCCTAAAAAGTAGCTGTTGTTTGCCTAGTTGTTCCTAGTTGAACCAAAGTTGCCTAGTTGAAGCCTAAAAATATTTGCAGTTTTAAACTGAAACATAAGTAGCTTCTTTTCCAATCAATTCTTTTCCTTAATAATATCCATTTCTACAGCAAATTTTTAGAACTCTCATTATATAAAATCGCCATACTAAATTATTTAGAGAAGAAAGACGTCTTTTACTACTATAACTTGTTTTTTTTTTTTTTTTTTTTTTTTTTTTTTTTTTTTTTCCCTAAGGATAAATTTATTGAGGCTACTCACTATTAGACATTTCTGATACAGGAAATATAAAAAACAACATTGCTCGCACTGTGATTCCAATTGCTTATTTTGCAGTTGCTAGATGGATATGCTAAACAAGCCCCCCCACACACACACACAGGACATGCATGGGGAGATGGGATTGTTCCTTATATCCTCCCACTATTTAACTGGAGCTAAAAAGAGACACGAGATTCAGTCGGCCAAATTCAAATGTTGTCGAGCTATCGTCCACTAACATTTTTAGTTCGAACGCCCAGTAGTGGCTTTAGGCTTTTTCGATGCAAGAAACGGAAAATACCAACTATGTTCTTGCCAGAAATTGAACCTCGGCTCTTCCAAATTGCTAGCTAGGACATGCTAATTACTTAAAGGACAACAGCATGCGCAAGGAATGCGATACTTCTTTACATGGATGACTAGTCGGTCAATATAGATCATGCGCATCAAGGGTGGATAAGTTAGGACACCCTGGTGGTAAAATTTACGCCATCAAGGGAATATTTAACGATAACAACATGTTTTCTAGTACCACATTATGAAGACTGAAAAAAGCCCAGAATAGCTATTAATTTCGTTTTGGCATTTTGCGTCGAAAACTTTTAAATGTCCGTTTCACTTTTCAAATTGTTGCCACCAAATATTGTCGCCCTGTGTTGTATTTAAAGAAATTAAATTATGAAGAATCTGCATAAATGTTTCTCGCATTGTGATAAAACAACGGTACCTAGAGCCATCGAATTTGGAATAACGTAATCCTCCACCGAATATGGGCATCTGGAAACCCTAATTTGGAATTTGGAATTTGTTTTATTATTGATTTTATGTTTTGGAACACTTTAAGGAATTTGATTAACAAATTCAACGATTTCAAAGGGAGCAATGGCAACACTGTACGAAAGGAAAAAAAAAAAAAAATTTTTTTTCTCCAGCTCGCCAGACTGTGTATCGGAAATTCTAAAGATATGCTCATTTTAAAATTATTCTGCGATATTGCTGTTGAATTGAATTTTATGGTTTAAGTGCGAAGAACATAATATTTAATAAATAAAGACAACACACAAAGCGTTAAAAAACGCCCCTTCGGACGTAATGTAAAATCTGAAAGCTTTCAGATTTTTTTTTTTCAATTTATTAACACAAATGTAGGTATCGAACAAACAGGTCATTTTTCTACATAGTCCACAAGTTTTGTAGTCCCACAAAGAAGAAGGTTTTCGGTTTGTTGCACAGGCATTTATGCACTGCTCGCACTTTTCTTTTATACGTAGAAATTTGGGAACCTTTAAAATACTTTGGAGTCGTCCAGTGGAAGGATAGTCAAGGAAGGTGCAAGTTCTGGACTGCAGATAGTGTGTTTCAGTACCTTGAATACCAAATTGTTAATGGTTTAAATTTTCTTGGGCTTTCCAGTAAGCTCTTTTAGCACCCGTCTCGCAAAGATTTTATGGAAGCCGAGCTAGTTATTTATGCTAGGCTTTGAACGAAACCATAACTAATTGCACAGATCTGATTGACAGAACCACGACTAGCCCACAGAAAACGTGCTACCTCATAGATGGTAAATTTCCGCTCCGCCAATACCATCTCTTCATAAATCAACTTCATAAATCATTATCGTCAGAAGTGCAGGCTGACTGGCATCAGTTCCCTTTTGGGCACCATGCTATGCTTGTTCGATCGCCTCTAAACTTCTCTGTCCATTCATACACACTCCTAAGAGATAAAATACTGTTCTCGAGCGACGATGTTAAAAGCGACGATGAATTTCAGCGCCTGGCACACCTTCCGATTACAGAAATTTGGTTTCTGCTTTTGTTCCTTCGTGATGTATGCTGGTAGCGAATAAGCCACTTTAACAGTATAACAGTATAATGAAATTGATGCTATTAATGTAGTGAATGCGCGGAAAAATTTTAAATTACCTTCGTACTATTCTTACAATGACTTATACGAAGAAAATAAAATACTTTAAGAGAGAAAATCACGAGGAAGAGGAAATATATGTGTAATTGCTATATTGTATTTAATGATATCACAGATTTTATGCATATTACTATTACCATACATCAAAAATGAAAAGTTTTCCGTTTGAAAAATCCACAATACATAGCAAGAATTTTTTTTTTTTGGGGGGGGGGGAATATCCTGATTCTTTTCTGCTTCTTCACAGCAATGCTAACGTAGTTAGATGCACTTCTTACGATAATTATTATGTTGCCAAAATTTGCAGTAATATACTAAACTCGATGAAAAATAACTAAGAACTGCAAAAGATCACGCTTTACTATAATGTTCAGTTTACTGATTTCAGGGGGGGGGGTATACTCAGTAAAATATAGGCGCGTTAAATAAATTTTAAGTCTAATGGATTTGCATAAGATTAATGTTTAAAATGACTAATTCAGTTGTCTGTGTAGTTTCCCTTAATTTCAATACACTTGGCATGTCCATCAGCTAGGCATCGAATTCCGTTCAAAAGTTCAAAAAATGTTTTATTGCAGCCTTGAAACCATTCCTGAAAGGCATCTTTCAGGTCATCATCGTCGCTGTAACATGAATCTTACATTGAATTTTGGGATAAATAATGTCGCTTAGAGCCAGGTGTTCTGATTGCTATGGGTTAAGAAGCTCAAATCTACATTGCTGATTAGCAACCTTAGCAACGCATTTGTGCTTAATTTTCCATGGTATTTTTGCTTTATAACATATAATAACTTGTCAACAGCTTGGCATTGTAAACACATGTTATAATAATGATAACAAATAATCAATGAGAGGCTGTCCCTTTTCATTCCTCCAAAAATAGTGACCAAACTTTTCTCAGCTGTTTTCTGTGTTTTGAACTTATAAGAATAGGAGATCAACTGCGCTTCTGCGTTTCTCTTGTTTGTTTAATTTACTGGCCACATATACACTCATGTCTCATCTACTGTCACTGGCCTATGAAGAAATCTTTCTCTCAATTCACCTGAGAAT